GACCAAAACGCTGGCTTGCATCCATAGATGCTTCTCAAGCAAATCCCAGGACGTCTTTCTCCCCTTGTACTCGGCCTTGGTGAGGCCGCAGCTGGAGTACTGCGTCCAGTTTTGGGCTCCAGAATTCAAAAAGGATGTGGAGAAGCTTGAGAGAGTCCAGAGAAGAGCCACGCGCATGATCAGAGGTCAGGGAAGCAGACCCTACGACGACAGGCTGAGAGCCCTGGGGCTCTTTAGCCTGGAAAAGCGCAGGCTCAGGGGTGATCTGATGGCCACCTATAAGTTTATCAGGGGTGACCACCAGTATCTGGGGGAACGTTTGTTCACTAGAGCACCCCAAGGGATGACGACTAGGTCGAATGGTCATAAACTACTACAAGACCGTTTCAGGCTGGACATAAGGAAGAATTTCTTTACTGTCCGAGCCCCCAAGGTCTGGAACAGCCTGCCACCGGAGGTGGTTCAAGCGCCTACATTGAACACCTTCAAGAGCAAACTGGATGCTTATCTTGCTGGGATCCTATGACCCCAGCTGACTTCCTGCCCTTTGGGCAGGGGGCTGGACTCAATGATCTTCCGAGGTCCCTTCCAGCCCTAATGTCTATGAAATCTATGAAACCCCCAGTGAACTCATCCTCTGTCCCACATATGTGCCTTTTTCAGGAAAAAAGGCTAAACAAAACTAAAAAGGGCTTAGGGGCAGCACAGGAGAGATCCTTCACAAGTCTTTGAGGGCCAATGTACCTACCTCATTTCAAAGATACTTCTTCATTCCCCTGCTCCACTTCATGTTCTTCAGTTCCCTTTTCCATTGCGAAGATTCAAACTGCTTTGCCTGAAGAGTGTCCTCTGGAATTGTAATGATTTCAGATTTAGTGGAAAGCCCTGGTATGAATTAAAAAAATATTGTATTCTGAGTTTTCTTTGCAGTAAGCTAAAGCACAGCATTACATTTCAATCTTTCAAGTAAAATACTTTTTTTATAAATACAATCAGAAGAGAGAGAAGTACTAAGTGCTATAGTCCATCAGCAGGCTGTGAACTCACCAGTACTTATGTCCTACTAGGGCTCAGACAAAAGATTAAAAAATGCAGAGATGCACTGATTCCCTTCCAAAAATTCTAGTTGTGTTGTTCTGAAATGTTAATGCCATGTTTAAAAACAATTGTTGGAGAGGACTACTAATAGCATGCAGAGTCTAACTGCTAGAGCATCAGTTCAAATCAGCCCAAGGCACTAGTAACTAATGGTGTAACAATTCTATACTTGCCTGGTAGCTACTCAGCATGGTTCTTAGTATGTTGATGTTCATAACTATGATCTACAAAACCAGAAAAGAAATTAAAGGCTGAATGACCAGGGACACGGAACTATACTTTCATCTCTGGACTTGCAAAGTATGATAGAATTCATATTGTGATAGAAGGGAGTATTGGAAAGAGATTAAAATGAGATCTTAACAATAAGTTTCTTCCAAGTGAGTTCGGGGAACAGCACTGGGCTTAGCACACAGGCATTTATTCACCATATGGTTGTAATTTTAGGTTGCTGAACAACTTATTAATCCATTTGGTGAAGATGACGATGATTTTGAAACTAACTGGTGCATCGATAGAAACCTGCAGGTCTGTATTTTTTTGTCTCCACTTGCATCTCTTCTGCTTAAAATATTGTACCTGTATTTGTTATTTCTCAGATAAGGATGATTCCAAATAATGTCATAAATGGAGCATCATATAAAACAACACTTCACTTGATGGAGAAAATATCTTTAGAACAAAAAGAAAAAACATTCTTCTTGGGCTAACACTCCCCATCTAGTGCAGGTCTGGGTGGACAGGACATGACTCCACCCCTCACTATGTGCTGGTCAGCTCAGCTGATTGAACATCAAAAAGGGAATAATTTGTGCCAGCTGTTGGGCTCTGAGGCATATTGTATGATATCTGACCAGTTGGGGCAGGGCAACTACAAGGCACTTACAGCAAAATCGCAACTGAGCCCTTAAAACAGAAACTAATGGAAGGTTCCAGTTAAAGGATGCACATACACTCTGTAGAGAATAGATTTAAATAGGCAACCAAGTCCCCCTACATATGACTCCTACATTGGCAACATGGAAAGCACCATTAGCAGGCTATACACATTTAGTCTATACACATAACACTTGAGAATAACACAATAATTTAGCTAAATAATCCAGTTAATGAAAGTGTTTACTGGGAAAGTTAACCATGCTGTCATTTGAGACTAAATGGGGTTGCAACAAGAAGGAAGTTGTTTTGCAGCATAGGGGTCTTCTCCCAGTTTAAGGTAATGAGATTTGCTCTATAGTAGGAGCGAGATAACTTATCATATCATAAATATCAATTCCAAAATAATATTTACCAGATAGCAAGAAAAAGAGTATTTTGTACATAACACCTTATTGCAAACAATTATATATATTAATGATCCCAGGTCTCACTTCTGGCTGTGGATGAAATGCACATGAACTTACCAAAGATGGAAAAAGATATTTACTGGAATGATACATCTGCCCGGCCACCATACACCCTGGCAGCTGCCGATTACTGTATTCCATCTTTCCTTGGATCAACTATTGAAATGGGGTAGGCAACACCACAAGCTTTTAATGTCATCAAGAAATTTATAATGATACATGAAATTTATGTCATGTCTAAATGTGACCCCAGAGCTGAGATTTAACACTGAAAAGTAGATAAGATTAAAATATTTATTTTCATTCAAACTGATGTGTACAAATACAGTACTGAGAAAATTTCAGTGGCCATTAGACAAGTATTGATTGAAGCAATCCTTTTAGGTGAGGGACACAAACATAGTTCTTTGGGGTTTTTTGTGGTATGCTACCTGTATAAGACAACATGAAGAGGCCAGATATTTCTTAGTAATTTTTCAAGATACTACATCCTCTGTAGCCCATTTACTACATCCCATTTATTTGCTTGTTCAATAAAGGATGAAGAAGTGACTAATACACTGCATAAAGCAGACACTTCCTTCCCTCACAGAGCCCTAATCACTTGGGACTTTGTGCTTGGAGGAAGTGGACACTTCCTCAAGGTCTCTTCCAGTGCTATCATCCCATGGTGCTACCCCCGAGGAGCACTTGATGGCTCCAAAGGAAGAGGAGGAACCATTCTGAATATGCTCTGTTGCCCTTGTGACTCCCTCCTCACCATACTGCCAAGGATTTTCATACTTTGCTTTTAGTTGCTTCTGTTCACTGAGTTCATTATGTGGAGGTCCTTCCTAATGAGCAGCACACCTGTTTTTCAAGTTCCTTGGCTAATGGTCTGTAGCAGAGCTCTACTTGTATAAAGACTGGTAGATAGGAATTGTTTTGTTACGTAAATCATATTTTTCACATCGTGGTTTACTCAAAACAAAGTCACTAGAATAAAGGAAATGGAGTAAACCTGGATGTATCACTTTATCCTACAGGCAAGTTGATGCAGAATTCCTTCATGGGGAACAGTGGCCCTGGGAAGAGGAGAAATTCCGAAGACAGCCTTCAGTCCTGAGAAGAGTTAAGAGATTCCTGAGTGTCCATGAAAGCTCTGCCTCCCCAACCAAGGGGAGCTACTCAAGACAGACAAGCGAGAATTCAGTGTTTTTCCCTGCACATGAAACAGGCCACATCAGACGTTTGCAAGAAATGCATTCAAGAGGGAGACATTCTGCCTCAAACACAAAGAAACATGAGCTGGCTGATAGGAATACCAGGCTGCATGGCAGCATAGATCTAGAAACAATCAGAGAAACCAGCAAAAATGACATTTTAGAGAGCCATCACCCTAGTGACAGTGACATTGTCTTTAAGACAGTCTATTCACTCCCTGAAATCAAGCTCATTAAAACAGAGAATAAATTACCTAACGTATCATGCAACCAGAATTTACAGGCAGGCATCAAAAGCATGCCAACAGAGAAGGATCCGCAAGAAAGCTTGTCTGAGACCCACTGTGATCCTGTGGATCCTCCACTATTTCCTTCAGAAATGGCTATATTACCTACAAGTTCTGAGAAGCTTTCATCCATATTCATAACAGAGGAACCAAACCCCCTACCAAGTAGGACAGCCCCTGATACCACAGATCACAACAGAAGCTCTCAAAGATGGAGTTTTCCAGACTTCCACAGTCAAAGTACATCAAGTACAGACTCTGCACCTCTTTTACTGGATTCTGGATTGCCTTCTGGAAGAAACAGCATTAGCAGTGAAAATGTTTTCCCTGTCCCTGCTGCTGCAAATCCAGTTGATATGTCCAAACTATTGGATGCTAAAGAAACAGCTATCGTAGAATTTACTACTGAGAAAAAATGAAGGAAAACGCTGACGGGGATTCATCTGGGTTCTGAGTGCATTCTATGTCTTACAGAGGAAAAGACTGGGGGAATGCAGAAATGTGAGGATTTACCAAACACAAATTTCTTTTAGTTTGGGAAATAAGCTGAGTTTTCAGTCTCTTTTAAAAGCTGTTTTTATCTAGGTCTTCTAAACTACAGAAATACATACAGGAGGCTCAGGCATGACACCATACATCAAAGAGTTGGGCTGTGGGTCAGATCCAGTAAGGACTTAGGCACCTTAAAGTTACATCCTGCTGTCTTCAGTGTCTGGCCCCCAGAATGGAATATGCCTCCTGTAGGTACATAGGGTTACCTGTACAATGCACAGAGAGAACTGGAAGCCCTAGAACAGGACCCAAAACAACCACTAGGGGTGTATCTGAAACCTGCCCCTATCTGGACCTCAGGGACGTGTCTGGAGGAGGAACCTCCAACCATTTGGGATCCACAGCCTAGAATTCCCTCCTTAGGCACATACAACCTCCTTTTAAAGAACAGAGCTGGACTCAAGTCTTTATTTAAAATGTTTCAGTTGTGGGGCTGCCTCCCTACATTTAAAACTGCAGAACTCTGGTGGCTAGAGAACTCATCCAGGAAGTGGGAGACCCAAATTCAATTTTGTTCTTTCAAGGAGTTCAAACTGGCATCTCCCACTTTCCACAAGTGTCCTAACCATCAGGCTATGCACTACTCTGGCAGGGTGGGGACAGGAGAATCTTTATCCCTCCTATTGAAGCTGTACCACTGCACAGCAAAGAATTCAAGATTCACTGAGGACTCTGTGATCTAGTAATTAGGACACTCCTGGGAAGTGATGGGTCCCTGCTCTCAGGGCTGGTTCTGTATTTTATCCACTGACTATCTAATGTGAAAGGCCTAGGGCAGGGACAAGAACTCAGGACTCCTCCCTTCCCTGGTGTCACGACCTCGGTAGGCACGGTAACTCTCTGCTCCCTAGGATGCTCTTAACTGAAAAGGAAGGGTTCAGTGGTGTTCCAAGCCCAGGCCCGGAGACAGGGGGTACTCACTGCCTTGACACAGTTGATCCTGGGGCTCCACCTCCTCTACACCTTATTCACTTGTAAACCGTCAGAGTTGTCATGCCATTGTGCCAGCCTGTTGTCCCAGCTTCTCTTCTCCAGCTGAGGGACCCCAGCTTCTTCAGCCTCTGTTCACAGTGCAGGCTCGTAGTTGCAGCCTGCTCTTCACTCTGGGTCCTCGACCTTGCTTAACTCCAGTGCAGGGCTTGTATCTGTGGTGCCCTCCTCAGGCTTGGGGTTGAATAAACCCTGCCCATGTGCTGGGGTTGGTGGTTGACCCCAAGCTCGCTGTTGTGGAGCCTGGGGTCAATGAGCCTTGTCTGGCTCCAAGACGCTGCCCTCGCCTATTCTCTGTGGGGCAGGGTCGTTTGCAATTACTGTTCAGCCGGGTCACACCCTGGCGAGCTCACCTTCTTGCCTCCTGCCTCTCTCCCACTTGCTGGCTTCTGCCAGCGTTTTTAAATTCCCCACAGCGGTGGCTGTGGCTGATGTCATCAGCCGGCCACTGCTGAACTTAATTGAGAGCTGCTTAAAAAGCCACTGCAGTGCTGGCTCATGCAATCCAGCCTGCCTCTCAGGTAAGTTTTCGGGGCCAGATTACCCAGGTACATCTCCCAGAGCATCAGGATTTGTCCCCGGTGCTTGTGGTCCTCAGGAGCGGCTCCTGCCACCACACCTGGAGAGTACACTAACCACTAGTAACAGTTACACTCTTCTTGCTCTTTTTCCTCTCCAAGTCTTCTAATGAATATTTAATTCTTTTCCGCACAATGGCACGGCTTCAGCAGGTGCCTTTCCACATCCAAGTCAGAATAGGTTAAACTAGGCCAGTCAAGTGGAAGGTGGGAGATGTGAGTTTAAGACCTTCAGGCTGGGAAAGCAAATGAACAGAAGTCTCCCACCAGCTGGGTGAGTGCTCTAATCACTGGGTATTAAGCTAAGGCAAGTGGAACCATCACTGCCAGCTCCTCCAACTGTGTTTTAGGAGAAAGCTGCCATCACTGCATTTTGGAAGAGCCCAGTCCTGTCAGCATGTTTCCGGCACTCTCAGAGGATGCCTGCCAGACTGAGCCCCTGAGGGACTTAGGCAAAGGCACTCAAAGTTCTTGGATCTGGATTAGATTTTGGAGGAAAATGGGCATTGACCTGCTCAGACTGAAGCACTTTTGGGCATGCACAGAAGCAGACCTCTAGGTGATAGGGAATGTTAAGGTCAATGCAGGAGGCAACTTGAAAGCTAAGGATCTTTAGGTGTTAAGTAGCATTTGAGTTGGGGTTTTGGGGAGGGGGGTTCACAGTCTTGGACTTGGGTGCCTTGGTTCTGCATGAACCTTGCTTCAGGCACCTAAATGCTGTACTGAATTGAGTCCTCTATTTCTGAAGGGTATTATTTGGATTATGGTGCTAAAGTGTCCCCATCTTAACAAAGACTCTGTCAAGGCACTAATCCATTAAAATAAAAAGCATATTAGACTGACAGTCCCTTCCCATGGTTAGGCTTCACCTAACAATTCCCAGCTCTTGACAATATACTTTAACCTTTCTTTTTTTAGGGTTTCCGAGTCTCACTCAGGAAGGAGAAACTCACTGCATCTCTGGCTATGATGGGGGAAATTGTTTCCCTCTCCCCTGGCAGTAGGAAACCTTTCTCTTGCTTCTCACTCTTGGAATCCAACCTTTTCCAAGGCCAATATCTTTCAATCAAGTTGCTTTTATAACAGTAACTCAAGAATTCTTTTCTACCCAAATGCCATTAAAATTAAAAAACAGCCAATACCAAGGGCAGCCATATGATTATCATCTCAGCACAATTCATTAACAACGTAGGTCCAAGTCTCTGCCAACCATAGATGTGGATGGCTCCAAAGGCAATGGGACTGGTACAGTTACTCTTCTTAGGTAACAAGCAGAGCACACTGATTGGAAGGTGAAAGTCCTTGAATACCAGAGGCATCTCTCTTTGCAGCCTGATCTACAATAGCAAAGGAAGGCAAGGCATGCCTCAAAGGTTTGGCCATGTTTACTGACCAAACAATCCCCACTCCCATGTTAAAAATGGGTTTTGCAGTTGCTGCAAAGGAGAGTGTAGTAGCAGTCATAAGACAGTTTCATCATCTCTGTAAGAGGATTCCACTACAGAAGAGCAGCCTAAGTAAATTGGATTCTCTTAGAGGAGAGGATGGGAGCCAGAGATTGAAGGTCACTACATGTCCACCTCTTGCACCTGCTCCTTTCCCTCTTCTCTCTTCCTGATCCCAGAGAGCTCTGCTAATCTGCTTCTAGAATCCAATCACTCTCTCCACCACTGTCCTCAAGCCCCTGCACTCTCTCTGCTTTCAGTAGATTAGATCAGAAGAGGCACCTCAGATATACCTCAGACTTCAGTTTGCCCCTCACCACACAGTGCAAGATGAGTGAAACAGTTCTGCATAGTTTCCCCACTGTTTAATTCTACTTCATTGCCTGCTTTTTTGCTGCTCACTAGCAAATCTGGGCCCTTTGCACAGCACACCTTTTACATGCCCTATTCTGCTACCGCTATGTGGACCAGCAAGGGGTAAATTCTCTTCCCTCTTATTCCCAGCTGAAGCCTAATTATAGCCAGGTAGATATCTCTGCAGTAGGCCAACTTCAATAAATGTCCCATTCAGGTTTTTTTTCACATGAATATATGCCATTTGAGAAATACCAGTAGTTAAGAATCTCTTCTTTGTTGTCCTTTGTGGGTGAAGATGACTGCATCCAGCGGGGGGCGGGGGATGGGGGGAGGGAAGGGAGAAGAGAAGGAAGAAGAGAGAAAAGAAATGGAAAAGAAACAGAGTGGGAGAAAAGAGAAAAGGAGAAAAAATGGAAAAAGGAGAAAAGAGAGAGAGGAAAGAGAAAGGAGGGGGGTGGAGGCTAGGTCATGTGGGTACGTAGGTGGCTTATAAGCCTGATCTTTGCCTTGAACAATCTGCTGCAGCAGGGGCAGGAAAGCGATGAGGACTGGATATGAGAGGTTTTCGTTTTCCTGGCTACGCATTTCTTCATTGCTTCTGCCATGCGTTGCTGTTTGAAGGCCAGTGCTCCAGTCTGGATTGATGACCTCCAGGGTGGACGATCACGTACGATTTGCTCCCACGACTCCAGGTTGATGCCAAAACTCTTTAGAGACACCTTTACAGTGTCCTTGTACCGCTTCTTTGGTGTGCCATGAGAGCATACTCCATTTGACAGTTCATACTCCATTTGACAGTTAAAAATAACTTTTTCTCATAGTGTCCTACAACACTGGAAAAAGGATACAATTCACTGAGGAAATACTTTCAGGTAGTTCAGGTACAATCAGCTGTTTGTTTTGATTTTCATTGAATTGTCTTTTGAAGTGAGTAAATCTCCCGAACACTTCTCTCACCAAATTATTTACTTTTTAAAAGCAAACTGACCACTTTTAGCAGCAATTTCAGATTCAGATTCACAGATATAAACAATGCAGGAGAATTATTGCATGAATAAGCCTGGGGTCTCAGGAAGAGTACTGTGATATCCAAAAACTGGCCTATGTCTATCCCAACCATGCAGTTGGTCCAATAAAAGATATCACCCACAAGAATTCTTGCCTTTTGCATAAATAAAGTCATTTTTAAAAATTAGATTACCTTGAGTGTATTAAACTATATCAGATATATCCCAGCAAGCTTGACCAATAGCCTGGGTCAGTTCAGAGTATAAGAGCATCAGTAGAAGAGAGTGAAAAAAGACTTGAGAGAGGGAAAAGGTTGGAACAGAGAATGTGTCAAAGCAACACCTTGCTGTCATCAAAAGTTATTAATCTTGAACACAACAGACTGTACAACTGTAATGTTTCTTTATGCCATAACAAGCTGACCAGTACTGCAACTTTCTAGGTGTTTACATTCTAACTTAGAACTCTCAGAACCCAGATCACAGAACACCCATATTCTCGTTCTGTTAAACCTCATTCACAAAAGATAGAAATATGAGTCTGACTAAATTTTCTGTTAGAACAATATGTATGCATGTATGATGGAAACAAGTGAAATGAATCTATATGAAATGCACATGGAATACTTATCTAAGGGAAGAAGAATATCCAGACTACTGCTAAGTGAATGACACAAGGTTTTTATGCATGTCTTGGCTTAGGACCAAACAAATAAAGGTTATCTAGATAGACAAGTTGGCTTACAATCACTGCATACTTAAAACAAATACAAGAAGAAAAAAATTGACATGGAGTAAATCAGGCACATTATCTTAACCTGCCCTGCAAAAATGTCAAGATGGTAACTGGGAGGACATGCTGTAGTAGGAGAAATAATTTGCAACAACAAATGCATGAGGTGTAGACTTCTATTCAGAAGCACAGAGCCAAGAACATATACCAAGGGGCATCATAAGATACTTTACACCAGAAATCAAGAGCAATGTTGCAAAGGTATCTGTGTGTAGACCATTTTGGTCTATATTATTCCAATGGGTGTGAAAATGGAAGGATACATTTAAGAGACCATAAGTCAAACTTTGTCAAGGCCAGCAGTAAGCTTTATATTTGTTCCAAGTCATTCAGCTTACCCTGAAGTATATGAGCAGCACATCTCTTCATTGACCCAATGACCCACATTTATTCTGAAAGGACTGATTTCCATAAATCAATTCTGGACTTCACATACCACAGATCTGTATTGTTGCATCAAAAGAAAATCAGTATATTGGGAGTCATACTTGAGAAGGAATACGGATGAGATAGAAATATCCCCTGAAACATGGAGATTACTTAAAAGCATATTGTTTTACAAAAAACTTAACCATTTGGATGGGGCCAGTTTTGCAAAGATGCCAAGAGCATCAAACCTTTAAGCACCAGAATTTCTGTTTTCTGGAAATAAGTATCAAGGCTTGTGCATTGGTTTGCATGGTAGATTTCATCTGCAACAATCTTCCAAACATTCACTATAATAATTCAGTTGTGAATAGTCATCCCATAGTTACAGAAGGAACCAACTGAACCATGTGCACCTGTGATTGGGGGAATGCATATTGGGAGAAGGAAGATGTTGTCATTCCTATTGGCCTTTATATTCCCTCAGAATGCAGATGAGGGGCAAAACAAATCTCTTTTGCATTCCCAAGATTAAAGTAGTATCAGAACTACTCTTTTGGGACCTATGCTGTCTGTCAGACATTCCAAACTGTCGCAGAGCACCTTGGTGCTCTGCTCCTAGAGGGGAGAAACTGCCAGGGAGAGAGACAGAGCCCTGGCAGGTCATAACAAGCCCAGCTGAGTGTTGCCAGGGTAACGAGCCCAGCTGCGGGTTGCCGGGGCAACTAAGGAGAGCCAGCTGCCTGTAGGAGGCAGGGCCTGGCCCTTATAAAGCCCAGGGCTGAGCCCAGGCTGGCAGTTCCCTGCCAGTGACTGGAGAAGCAGGAGCTCCCTTGGCTGAGATATAGCAAGAGGCCTGACTTGCAAGTACAGCTTGCTATAGCCTTGAGAGGATTGGGCACTATGGTTTAGCCAGGAGGCTCTAGTTTATGTTCAGGCTTGCATATTAGACCGGAGGCTTGGGTGAGGCTGTAGGGGTTGGAAGAGGCCTCATAGGGACCCCAGAGGTGTGGGGCCCCTGAGCGCAACCAGTGGGTTGCGGGCGGGGAACAGACCCCGGGTTGTATGCGGGGTACATAGACCCCAGCCCCAGAGTGGGGCAGCATTGAGAAGCCTGAGGCGGGCACGGCGAGCCCCAAAGAGGGGGAGCGCCACATTGGTCTATTGAGAAGCCCGAGGCGGGCACGGCAAGCCCCAAAG